GGTTTCACTGGACAGAGGACATCTCAAACATACAGAACCCATCAAAACTGTTTAGTCATTCTCCACAATGAAATTAGTCATCACAAAGCTGTTCCCCAGCAACTGTGGGCCTATTCTACAGATAACAGGGATATAAACCATGATAAACACCATGATATTCATCACCCTGCCAATTCAGGCTAGTCTGGACATGGATTCTGGACATTTGAGGGTGTCCTGGGACATCCTTTACTGGCTGATGCTGCTTTTCTTGGGCCCTATGTGGACCAAAGATGTCCGACTGGAGTCTGGAGGTAGAAGAGCATCAACTCTCTCAGTAAATAACACTCTTTAAGCAAACCAGCAGAGGGTTTTCACACATCTGTGCCACGTGGGGCTAAAATAACTCCCCGTTTTGCATGGGAACATGTGGCCCCTTTTGGTGGTTTATCTTTATTAAATAAGGGAACTCACCTGATGCTTTATCATACCAGATGAACTCGTCTTTTCTCCTAGAAGCCCTCGCACAAGGTCTCTGCACCACATATTGATCATTCAGTTTTTCTTCTGGCAAAAACACAAAAGAACAAAACTAAATGAGAGACTTTGTATGGAATGGAGTCGATTCCAGCTTAATTTCTCTCATTTCCTCCCCACTTATCAGAAACAGACCTGAATGGTTCCTATGCTTTTCGCCACTAACGATCATTTGCAACGTTAAAAAAATATTAAAAGCTAAGTTCTGTTCACCGTGCCAGAACTGGTCGGTGGTGGTGGCCAGCCTCAGCTCCTTGTCCATGTCCCAGTCGGTCAGCCCCACAGAGCAGTGCAGGCCGGACAGCCCGGCTCTGGTCCTCAGCTGCAGGGTCATGGCGGTGTGTCCGGGCCGGAGGGGGGGGGGGCCGGACACCTGAGGCCTGAGGCAGAAACACAGCAGCTGCAGCCTGATCACACTCATCAGGCCTGACGGGAACCAGCCGAGAACCACACAGGAACCGGCCACTCAGGAGCTTACCAGCCACATCACGTAGTTAACCCTATAAAGCCAAATGTGTCATATCTGATCCGGTTTCTTTTGGATGTGAGACTTTCTGCATCATTCAGTGGTAAAAGCTTTGCTCAAACCCCTGTTGTACACATTCAGATATACCTGATAACAGCCAGTAGAAGACTACACCAACATATATTTTTCACTTATTGCATGCTAATTTGATCAAAATAATTTCTGTTTTTTTCTTTATATGTTGTTGAGGGGTCAAAGAAAGACTTCAGACTAAAAAAAATCCAAAATTCTTCCTATTTTTCTTGGATCAGACTTTAAAGGGTTAAATCCTCAATCTGCTGTGCAGCAAAAAATCTTCCCTTACATCTTCTAATTAGGAAAAGACTCTGATTTTCCTTTGAGGAAGAGAAACAAATATTTGCTTTAATGGGAACATTTAAGGTGCCCGTTTACCAACAAAAAAAGTCCCATATTCTCTTTTTTTATTATTTCTTTTTATCATATTCAGACCCTAAAGTCCTAATTTGTTAAAAAATAAAAAAGCCAGTCTCTCCTGCATTTTTTAGCAGACGTTAAACTGCAATAATATTCAATAAAATGGTTTAAACAGGAAATATCAGCCAGAAGATTGAACGTAGTCTGGCTTTACTTGAGGTTGTGAGGGAAATCAATACATGTATAATCAATTTATTCCATTCTCTCTGGTAACTTTCCACCAGTGAGTATTTTAAAGGTTCTTTTTCTTTCTTGTGGGACTCTTTCCTCTTTCAGGGTCTCAGAGAAAGTCTCCTTATATTTTCTCTCCTAATGTTTTGACTTGAGGATTGTTAGGTACAGGTTTGTTTATGATGGAGAAAGACTTTAGTCCTCATTTTAGACTCAGAGAGGCTATAAAATTATTAAGTTTTACTTTACTTTTGTCGTATGAACCACTTGTATGATCCTGCTGGTTGCTCTCACTTCATGAAGTTTTCCCTTTTAATAAATTCCTATTTCTTATTTCCTCAGATGGACTCAGATTTTTGCTTTCGAGTAGAATTTCCACTACAAGGTTTTCTGTAAATAAACTCCCAAATATTCAGAAAACAAAATTAAGATCCAGACACGTTCAGTTTCTTCAGACCTGCATGGGAGCAGTTTAATCTGTCATCACATTTACAAGACACATTTCACAACAGACCAAAAATCAATTTATACAGCATGAGAAAACAAAATCATACAGTCGTCTTTAAATATCTAATATATCTTTATATATTCAAACATTTAGTCTCTCATTTACTCACAGGACTGGGCCTGGTCTCAGTACGTCTGTGACCCCCAGGAGCTCCTGCTTCCTGCCTCTGACACCTAACATCACACCGGGTTAGCTTTAGGGGAACCACGGGAGGGAGAAGACAAACACAAAGAGGCAGAGGAATGTTCACAGGAAGGGTTTGGCTCACTAGAGTTTTTTAGTTTTATTTTAAGGTGATCAATTTGAGGAATTCGGCATGGTTAGTTCAGGATGACATGAGGCCAAAAGGAGGCCCGAAGCAGCCTGGTCTCTGAAAATAGCAAATTCTTGCTTTGCGTTTTTTTTTGTTTTTTTTTAACCGTGCCACGTAAAACAACACACTCATCTTCAGAGTTGACACACTTACAGGAGTCAAATCAATTCAAATTAGCGTCAGTTCTTCCGGTGAATCCCCTCAATCTCCTCCCCTCTTTCAGCCTCTGTTGGAAACAGAGCGGGATAAGAACGAGACGTCTATGGGTGGAGGAGGAAGGGAACCGGAGTGGTGTCCGCCGGGCTGCGAGTCCAAAGGCGGGATGAAAGGATGTGGGAGTGGGAGGGGGAGGGGGGGGGGGGGGGGGGGGCTCAGAAAATGGGGATGTAGTTGTCGATCTTGGCGCGGTGGCGCTGGGCGATGCACTCTGCGATCCAAACGATGTTCCTGCACTCCTGCTCCTTCAGCTTCACGTAGGCGTAGAACACGCTGAAGTGGAACTGGTTCAGGAAGGCCAGCTTGTTCAGCTTCACCTGGGGGGGGAGAGGGGGGGGGCAGAACAGGCTGTTAGGCACACCTGGACCTGGTCACGCTTCAGGAGTCTGGATCTGGAAAACTAGGCTGGTCCCGATCCCATATCTGGATCGGATCGGCAGGAGAAAATGCAGATCAAGACTCCAGATGCAGTTTTTTTTTTAAGTCTGATCCCACATTAGCATTAGCGTTAGCATTAGCATCTGTAACCACAGGTCTGTGTCCGAACCATTAAGTTATCAGAGTAAATCCCTGTTCAACATGAGTCTGACAACTAAGTAAGCTAGCATTAGCATCTCCTGTGTCCTAACCATTAAGACGGCCATGTTAATCTGTCTGTAAAAATGTCAGTTGTGCGGGATTATTTTATCATTAAGGACGAAAAAGAGGAAGAGTTGGATGTAAAACAGAGTCAATAGACTATTTTCTATTCAGGTTGTTTGTGTGTTTTTCCTTGTAAAGAGCAAAAACCAAAAAGTGAAGCTTAATAATGAAGAAATGAGTGACTGGTAAAAAAGTAGACCAATAAAAACTGACGGCAGTGGACAGGATTTGCCAGGTCTAAAGTTAAAGTTAGGGACATCTGGGACCGGGTCCAGGCTTGTGGGGGGTCCTGAGGACGGGTCTGCTTCGGTGTTTGGCGCTAAAGCGTGTGCAGTCACCTCGTGCTCGAAGAAGCGGTCCTCCAGGGTTTTGTCTCCCGGGTTGCTGCCAGCACCTTCAAACAGCAGCTTGTACTCCTGAAGAACAGAAGGCAGGGTTAGAAAAGACCGAGTTACTGTCCGGGGTCAGAAAACCAAGAGCCGTTAGTCCGTCGTGCTCAGCTCCAAACACATAAAAAAAACAGGGAATCAACAAAAAAACATTGTCGTCTGAATTTCATCGTCCCACCATGTTATCTTTTGGACTATTTTGGACTGATTTGGGTCAGTTTGGGTAGGCTTTGGACCAGTTTTGGACCGGTTTAGGCCCCTTTTGGACTGGTTTGTGTTAGCTTTGGGCTGGATTGGGTCAGTTTTGGACCAGTTTGGGTACATTTTGGACCAGTTTAGGTCCGTTTTGGGTTAATTCGGGTCAGTTTTGGACAAGTTTTGGTCCGTTTTGGACCAGTTTGGGTCAGTTTTGGGCTGGATTGGGTTATTTTTTGTCCATTTTGGATTAGTTTGGGTCCGTTTTGGACCAGTTTAGGTCCGTTTTGGGTTAGTTCGGGTCAGTTTTGGACAAGTTTTGGACAAGTTTTGTTCCGTTTTGGACCAGTTTAGGTCCATTTTGGGCTGGATTGGGTTAGTTTTGGTCCATTTTGGGTTAGTTTGGGTCCGTTTTGGACCAGTTTAGGTCTGTTTTGGACCAGTTTAGGTCTGTTTTGGGTTAGTTCGGGTCAGTTTGGGACAAGTTTTGTTCCGTTTTGGACCAATTTAGGTCATTTTTGGGCTGGATTGGGTTAGTTTGGGTTGTGCACTCAGCTCCGTGGGGTGGGACGGGTTGGAAAATGAAGTTTTTATGCACTTACTGGGTAGAAGTCTGCGACGGCCTTGACCTGCTCGTAGTCGTCTGCCCGGGCCAGCTGAGCGAGGCCTTCTGGGTAGAGCTTGCCGCAGTGGGGGAAGAGCTTGGCGCGGTCCTCTTTGGACAGCTCTGTGCCGAACGAGTTGATGGTGATGATGAAGGCTCTCCTGTCGGCCTCGAACTGAAGGGACGACAGGAAACGGGCTGAAAACATGCTGGAAGCTGCTTCTGCCTTAAGCCTGGTTCAGTTAAGCTGGGCTGAAAGCATCAAACCAACTCTAAACGGGAGGAATTTGCTCTTAGGGGGAAAATAAAAGGCTCACCTCCAGGATGGGGCACATGGTATCGGCTGTGGTTCCTCCCAGGTTTGAGCAGAATTTATAGAAAGCCTCCAGATAAGCCTGAGAGGAGGTGACCAAAAGTGGATTACAACTAATCCTGGCTCTTAAATGTCACTTTAAAACACTGAAATCATCGTTTGTGTATTTGGCTTTTGAATAAAATGACTCACTGAAGTGAAGTGTGTTGACTTTTCTATGATTCACTTCCCTTTTCTCTATATTTAGAAGTTGAAATCACCTGAGGAGGCTTTAGAAAACAACTAATCGTACCTTGTAAAGTGTGTTTCGGATGATTTCAATGTTCATCTCGTCCAAATCCTGCTCTGATATGCAGTCCTGGAAGAAAGCGGCTGAAAGAAACACAAAAAGAAGGCGTTCAGGGTTGGGCTCTTCTTCTCCAGCACCGGCCTGGGTTGGACTACCCACCCAGGGGCGTGTCCACCAGGATGGCGTTGTAGAGCTCGGCGGGGGTCTGGGCGATGTTGACCGCCTCCATCTGCTCGAAGCTGCCCAGCGGGTGGCACTTGGGCACCAGCTCAGAGATGGCGCGCTGGTGCAGCGTCCCGGTGATCAGCAGGATGACGTTATCGATCATGTAGCTGTACCTGAGGCAGAGGGGGGGGGTCAGGACCTCTGAGGTCAGTCAATTTGACCTTTACTTAAATCTACTTCCATTAGGCTCGTCCCGATCCCATATCTGGATTGGATTGGCCGCCTATATTGGCAAAAAAATGCTTTTTTGCCAACCTTTAAAGTCCGATCCCACACGAGCATTAGCATTAGCATCTGTAACCCACAGGTCTGTGTCCTAACCATTAAATTGTTATCAGAGTAAATCTAAGTAAGTAGATAAATAACTTTAGACTTTAGTACATGCTCTGATAGGCCGGGATCGGGATCAAAAAGCTAGATGGGGACATCCCTAACTCAGTTTGGGTAGGCTTTGGTCAAGTTTTGGACCGGTTTAGCCCCCTTTTGGACCGGTTTGTTAGCTTTGGACTGGATTGGGTTAGTTTGGGTCCATTTTGGACCAGTTTGGGTCAATTTTGGGTCAGTTCTGGTCAGTTTTTGACCAGTTTGGGTCTGTTTTGGGCTGGATTGGGTTAGTTTAGGTCAGATTTGGACCAGTTTGGACTAGTTTAGGGCTGAAAATGGAAAATGTTAGTATCGTGACAACCCTAAACAACAGTGTAATAAACTCATGGGTGAGTTCTGGGCCTGTTTGTTTGTTATTGGGCCAAACAGGGAAGAGACACACTCCAGTAGCTGTTACTCCTGAACCAGAGCACCTGGCTCCTCCTGGAAGTCGCTTTATGAGGTTTCTGTGATGGGAGGATGAACACTCGAACCCTAAAACAACCTGGTAAACCTTCACTGTGACGGCAGCTGGTAGGCTTCTGTAAATCTACGGGTGAGTTGTGACTAACGTGATGAAGTCCATGAAGCTGGCCAGGGGCTCGTAGGACTGGTTCCTCATGTGGCGGAACTCCACCACCATCTTCTCCTTCAGCTTGTCGTCGATGACCGACACGGTGAGGGGAGACGCCTCGTTGGCCAGGAAGCTGCCATAGTCGGTGCTCTGCAGGTGGAGCTTCAGGTCTGTGGGAGAAAACAGGGTTCAGAGGGAATACCAAGTAGGTCTGTCTGCAGAATGTAGGAGGCCTAGGATGGATCTCCAACTCCATCCACATCCAAGTTAGGTCACAAATAGGAAGATCTCAGGCAAGAAAATGCTAATTGCTACATGGCAATATAGACATTAATTTAAAAATAGTGAAATGAATCTTGAATTAAAATCTATTCCATAATATTATGATAAAATAGCGGATGTTAAATAGGGTTTGTACAATAAGTCCAAACAAGTTTAACCAAAAAATAGTTATTTCTCACTATTATGAAGGCTGGAGGGTTAGGGTTAGGGTTAGGGTCAGGGTTACGGTCAGGTTTAGGGTTTTGGTGTTTCCTGTCACATGTATCAAAAGTCCTCTCTTTACTTGTCATCACTTCCTTTTCTTTGGACTCGTTAGTGTCCGGTTACAAAATACTTCAACACCACAGTACAAACGAAAGGACCAAATAATTCTCTCTTTTGTAGCTGTTGTAGATCGAACCGTTTTAAACTATGCAACAAAACCAGCATTTGCAACAGTTAACAGAGACACAGTGTTTTAAATAAAGTGAGGTTTGTAGGGGTGGTTTGAATCCGGCCTTAAAATGAACAAGTGCTGTGACACAAATGTGATTTCACTACATATATTATACAGGATAATTATCAAAACACGGGTTTATTTAGCTCACCTTCACTGTATAATCCTCCTGCATGCAGAAAATAACAGGGATCTAAGAAATAATCTGAATAATCTACCTGTTCACACACTATAACCTCCATTTTCAGCTTAATCTGACAGGACAAATGCTAACGTGAGACCTGCTAAGAGCCACCAGAAGATGAAGAAACGCTTTAATATCACCAAGACTCAGCGTCGAATCCCTTCTACTTCCTCAAAAAAGAAATTAAAAAAAAGGAAACACGAACATGAACCAAAAAACGACATAAAATGGACAGAAAGCTCTGATCTATGATCTGATTAAATTAAGAAAAGGCAGACCCGCAAATTACACTGACACGATTTTACTCAAAATATATCGTTAATCCGAAATTAGGTGACCTCAGTTTTATTCACAAAAACGAGCGGGTCGTTAGGTAGCAGATACACGCGACTACATCCTTATTAAAACCCTTGCTAAAATAAGCTAAGCTAACTAGCTTTGAGGATGACAGCTGTTAGCTAGTAGCGTTAGCATTAGCGGTTAGCTCCCGTCTGCTCCGCCTCACCTTCCAGAGTCTCGCACTGAACGAGGTTTAAATAGTCCGCCTGGGACAGTATTCCCGCTTTAAAGCCTCGGACCAGACCCTCCAGGTAGCCGTTGTCGACGTTAAAGTACAGCTCGGAGAAAGGCATCCTGGCCGTCCGTCGGTTCCGTCGCTGCCGCAGAAAAAGCGTCCGGTCCTGCCTGATGACGTCACCGGCAGCTGACTGAACCACGTGACCGTCATCTGATCGGTCACCTGCTAGCGTGAAGTTTACTGTGTGTGCGCGTGCTTGTGCGTGTACCGGTTTAGTTTGGGTCAAATAGTCAAAATTATTATTTAAAATCTTCAACCACTGCTCATTTATTTATTTGTTTATTTTATTTTATTTTATTTTATTT